TGCTTTATCGTAACTGTTATATTTTTGAGCGACTTGTCCCCAAACTTTTTTTCCCGCGTTTTTGCTGAGTACGGTTCCATAACACCGAGCTCAAGCTTATTCTTTTAGCTTTTTAAAAAGTTTGCTGTTTCTTTTTTTTTTTGATCTTCGTAGTAAATTTGTGTTTCAGATCAAATGGGCCTTCACCGGTGCCACGGCCGGCCCCACAACCACCAGGATTGGGTGGTGGACCGACCGCGCAACGTCCGGCTCCAATGCCGCCACGGCCAATGGGTAATGTTCAAAGTGCACCGTCGATTGCCAACCGGCCCCTTCCTGGACCACCTGGCGGCCTTCCGGCGCCATTACTTCCAATGTAAGTTTGTCACATGCGTACTGATTGTTCTTATTGATTTTTTTCATTTGCGGTCCATCCTCGGCTTAATGCTATAGCTATTAGTAAGAAGTATAACTTGCTGCAGCCGGCACCAGATAAGATGATATTAGATTATAATAACATGTGGTAAATTAGTTTAAGTGGCCTGGTAACTAATCTAAAATATATAATAATAAATAATAGTAATGAGAAATGGAAAAAGAATAGAAAGAAAAAACGGAAAAAATGGTTTCAGCTTATGCAAAAGTGATCTCTAAAGCAAAAAGCATATTATTTTGTTTGTGAATCATATTTTTGCTGCAAAAATAATTGCTACCAGCATCTGAGGAGTAGACTGAAAAAAAAGGCTTTGGTCCCAATTTCTGAATTATATTCTTCTAAAACATTCATTGTGGGATTTTTCTTTTTGAAAATTGCAATTTTTGCTGCGATAATTCGGTCACAATTTGAACGAAAGGAAAAGTGGTTTTTTTTAACATTTTACGAAAAACGAGCCTTTTTATCTTCTTTTACCACACTTTTTTATCAAGTTTTCCTGATACTTGCAACCCGAGCCTGTCGAGTCACTAAGTAAGCTTTTGGTAAATGAAAAACACGTTGTTCAAACCAACTGACGACCCTTCGTTACATTTTGAAGTAGCATCGATCGAGCACTGCATAACCTGCCCATTTCTTCCTAAACTTTTTCGTCTGTTTTTATCAATTAGCTGTCCAATAACGTTTTGAAAGAATTTGGCAAATAAATTAGTGGCGTGTTAATGAGTTTGATGTCCGTAATCCAGCTAATTCATCCAAAATTACCTTTTAAGGCGTCCGAAATAAATCATCAAAGGGTAAATAATTCGTTTTGAGCACTGATTGTGTTTATTTGCTTTGCACGAAATGGACGCATCCGACTTACTAAGCTGGATTGTGGCTATCTCCGGAAAGCCCACCTTCAGTAGTAGCAAAAATTTCAAAATTTTCCATTATTTGTCCCGGAATTGCATGTTCGTGACAATTTCGAGTGGTTTTTTTTTTTTTTTTGCCTTTATCGTAGTGATTTGTATAAAAAAAGTTCTGGAAATTCTCATTCAGCCGGATAAAAAAAAAAAACCACCGATTAAAGCAACGGAAAATTTACTGTTTGAAATCGTTGCTCAGATATTCTGAATAAACATAGCGATTTTTCAAAAATTATGTCTTAAGGTAGCTATGGCAATGGTTTAGGGTATTTGTTTGGAAGATGTGTCGGCTTGCATGATTTTTTGGTTTTTTTCTTATTTCGTAAAACATGCATGCGTATAGATGTAGGTTTTGTATTGTGTGGTCATGTGGTGGTCTGTCTTAGGAAAAGGAGTGCAACACGTTAACCCTTTTGCCGAAAGTTCGCTTGAATGATGCTCAGGAAAGTGGCATATTCGTCGTAGGTTCGGCTTCTCATATCCGGGGGAAGGAATAGCCACAAGAACCTGGAGTAGCTGCGCTTGGCGTTTGACTGTAGATTTCACGGACCTGTGCTCGGCTGATCTAATTAATTTTGATTAATACTTTTTAGCGCTTCTATCATATTACGAAGGTCAAAATTTCTCGAATTTCGACTTTAATGCCTCACTGTAACGTAAGCCCTTCTTTCTTCGGATTTATGATCATCTTTTTCCAAACGTGCGCCAGCACTACACCACAATTCAGTCGAGTAGTATTTCTTTATTGAAAAAAGGGCATCCCGCATGGCTTTTTTTCCAAATCACGGCATATATTTCATGTCGCTTATTTGACGGAGCATTTCGGTACCAGCTGAATTTGTAAAGAGGTTTGCTAAGGACTACCTCCTTCCATCACTATCTCCTATCGCAGTTGGCCTCTGCATAGGAGCGGTACAATAGATATTGTATGCACTTTAGACTTTCTTATTCTTCATGTAATCTTCGATATTCTGTTATTGGCCTCTGTTTGTTTGTTTAGGTTATCATGCTTTTTCCCAAATTCATGCCGCCTGAAACGCTTCTGTAATTGCTAATTTATTTTCACTTTCAGTCGGGTACATAACAATCCATCGA